TGCACTTCCATCCCTCTCTGAGCACTCAGTCATTCACTGCAGAAATGTACTGTCATGTCTTTGAGAGTATACATGTAGTGGCCCCACTTCTCCACCTCTCCTCCAGTCATCCCACTTCAGGAAAGGATGAAACACACATAAGAAGAAATTTTTCAGGGTGGCTTGCAGTTACAGTCTCATGTTAGGTTTTTACCTTCAGTAATCCCATTCAAAGTGTGCTCACAGTACCATAATAAAAATTGATACTCATTAATAATAAAGCAAGATGCAGAGCTTACCAGGGCATTAACACTCAGACGAGAGATGGGACAGCACAAAGCCAATCTGAGGCCAGAAGGACTTCAGTTAGCTATTCATTCTGCCAGGAAGTTCCTCTCAGGGAGGTTTTTATCACCATTAGATGCTTTGGAATTTTATTTAGAAGGAAAATAAACATCTCTCTCATACAGCTTTAAATCCCCTCAAGTGCTACCAAAAAGAATTCTTTGATTATCACTGCTGATAGGAGATTTTTCTTAAAATTTCTTCTCAGGAATAGATCAAATCCATCGATTCTCTTCCTTCCCTTACAAGCTTTTATAATAGTGTTATGCTTGGGCTACAGTGCACCGTGTTTTCTTCCCATTAGGAAAATAACAAAAGGAGGGATGGCTAAGTACTCGAGCAGAGGTTTCTATTCCAAATATGAAAAAAGAAAAAAAAAAAAAAAAAAAAAAAAAAATGTCCACATCAATGAGTAGAAAGCCTGAGGACTTGAGAAAACACTGCCTGCCTCCTACCTGACTGTCTACATCTGTCCCCCTCTACAAATTGGAGCCAACTAGAACAGATCACAAAAACTACATCAGATCATGCAGCTAATGATGCTTGGATTGGTTGAGGAAACAACAACTGAATTGTCCCTTTAGAGGTTAATTTTCAACCTGACAACTGAATAAGGCACGTTTGCCTGGTCAAAAAGAGGCAAAAGAAATATCTTACTAAAGGAAGCTCTGTTTTAGATGTTTAAAGGCATTTAATGATACACTCTTCCTTCCCATTGCTCACAGACCCAGAAATGCACACTGACTCTATACAGGGCACAGCCTAGCACAGGAGACATTCACGTCAGCTGCTGGCAGCAGAACAAAGAATACAGAGCTATGGCCATGTGAGAAGTTGATGATTTTGGGAGTATTTCCTCACTGCAAATTTTTCCTCTCATTCCTCTTCCAAATATAAAAAGAGCTTTAGGGAAATCCTTTCCTTATTAATATATTTCTTTAAACATACACTATTTATGTAAGCCTGCTTTACCTATTTCATTATTCTGGTGATAAATGTAGTTTTTCCTTTCTGCTAGTACAAGCCACGCGTGCCGGTGTGAAACCCAGCACAAAGCACCCTGAGTGCTTACAGATGTGGATGCAAAGTTCTGTCTATCCATAATGACACTCCACTTGCAGGGAAAATAAAGGTGGCAACTGTAAACACCAGCTGAGACTGCTGAAAAACAAAATAAGAGGAAGCAAGTCCAGTTACCTCTTATTGGTCTAATCCAAGTATTTTTAATGCTGCTTAGCAGCTGACAGTTCAGTCTGTCCTGGGAGGGTGTGGGACGGATGATTGGGGGAGAGCAGCACATAGCACAGGTCCCGCCTAGAGCCAAGCAGTCAGTATGCACGTGGAAAGAAGACAAAACCACAGTTCTATCACCAAAATAGAGACTGGGAAATGCAATACTTTAGAAGTACTAAAACCGAGCCCATGGATGATATTTCCTTTCAAGACGCATTTTCTCTCTTAAAACATTTGCTATCCTTTGGCATGTCCTTATTACTTTTCCACATGTGCCTCTTTTTAAAGATGTCAAAATGCAGTCATACTTTCACATTATCTTCTCGCTCTCATTTGTTCTTATGGTACAGTATGCTCCACACATTTTATCTCGATGAAGTATAAACAAGACTTTCCTAATGGGAACCCAACACTTCCAGGCTGAGAAGAGCTCCCTCTTTATGTGTTACCACCCTCATCCTGTAACTAGAATTTCCTAACACATTTCACTTATGCAAGAACTCAATTTACAGCACAATGATGACAAGGAGAGCACGTGAACTTCAGAAATCATGCTCCTAATTGCAGGTACCTCACATCTGAGCTTTAGGGAGCCCTGGCTGCTAGCCTAACAAGCATAAATGAACTAGCTATCAAAAGCTGTATATGTCCTTCTTCATAGACAAGGTACTTTACACTTTATCATATATAAATTATATTTTGAATTTTACTAAATAAATGGAACTGTTCTTTACCTGGAAACAGGCGGATAACTTTTCCACTTGTTGCTGAATGGCACACATACATTTGGCTGCTCTGAAGGACTGCTATTGCTGTTAAAATGTGTTTGTCTTGGAAGCAATCCCATTTCATCTTACCACACCATCAAATGTGAGCTTATCTCAGTCACAAATGCTCATCCCTCTTCTATTATTTTATGAAAATCTCCTAAAATGATAACTTCATATGAAAGTCCAAAACAGTAAATAGGAATATCCCAAAAAGTTTCCCCTCAGTGTACACACTGTGAAAGCACAGATTTTATTTTCAATAGCCTGACATCATTTTCCATTATTACCCATTCAGTGAACACTGAACACTGTTCTACAGTATAAAAGCCATATCTAGAATAACTTAATGTTTCAAAATTCATTTTCTATTATACCACTAGGACCAGTAATTGCCTTTGTGAGGAAGGATTATCCTTGGGACTTTGTAAATTAAGAAGAGGTTTGTCATTTTAATAATTTTATTTTCAAGAAAAATCTTTGTTCTCATTCTGTTTTTACAGTCACCACCAAAGAATCTGAAAGTTATGCAACACAGCAGAATTAAAGCCACCAGGGACCCTCCTAATACAAGATGGAAATAACCTATTACGCAAATAAGATTAAAACACTGACCTTAAATCCAGTCTTTTGCCAAGGGGCAGTGAAAGGGCAGTGGGGGTGGAAGTCTACTGTGGTACAGAAGCTTGCACTGTGCTTAGGAAAGTACAAGAATTTTCAAAACCAAAGACCTCCATCGTACAGTAAAGTGGAGTCATAGCACATACTACAATCATTTCAGTATTTCATATTGCAAGGCTAAGAAATAACATCGCTTCACTTCTGCAAGCAGAAAAAATTGCTTTCTGCTCCTCGCCCTCATTTTCCAGCCATAACTGTTGCAGTTACTTCAAACTGTTCCAGTCTCTCCTGGCCTGCAGAGGCCACCAGAGCCGCAAGGGAGAGCCCAACACAGGAGCCCTAGCTGTGCCAGCAGCCTGGCAGCAGGTCTGCTGCAGAGGCCAGGCCAGCTGGGATTTCCTTGGATACTGGAAGCGCCAAGGGCTGGAGCAAACTGGCTTTGAATGACTTTGAGCCGATGGTGCAAGGCCAAGCTTCCAACATGAGTAATAACTCAGCTATGTACTACAACCTGTATCTGCTACACTGCACAGCTGAGAACAGAAGTCCATTATGCTAAATGGTTCAGTAGGAAAACAGAAAAAAATAAAATACGACTTTTGTCTCAATTCAGTCCTGTTAATACCGCCCAGAGAAACCTACCTCTGGCACCCTTTGTGCTTTCATAAGAAGATCAATAGTATTACAATCAGCAATATTACAGTTACACTCAGAACTTCTAGGCCATCCATCTGCACCGGTTTGAAAGCAAGAAAGAAAAAGTGAATAAAGGAAATGGCTAACACGTAGGACGAACAACATCTGAACATCTGGTCCCACTCTGAAATTTTTCTTTATTGAGACAAACAGAAGGAAAAGAGCTTAATTTCTAATTTCAAATATTCTTGCAAGGGCTGAGGATGTCTATATCATCAGAAGTAAGAGAGTGATGCTGTCCTATTTGAGGCAGGCTGGAACACTGCCTCAGGGTTATGTTTCCTTTCTTGGCGTGGGCCAGTCAGATATCTTTAAAAAGGGGAAAGGAATTATGGTTGACTGCTTCACCTAACAGTCTTAAAGAAGAATATAGGAAAAAAAGAGACATAAAAAAAGAAAAAGTCTAACAAAAAAATATCACCCCATGTGTTTTCCAAAAGAGGGCTGAGAGGAGAATAACCAGAGAACTCCCACCTGCTGGAACACATAATCTGAGGGAAGAAATACAGAATACACAACTTTTGGGAACATCCCCTCCCACAGGATCTTCCATGCCTGCCCTCCTCAATTTCCAAAATGGAAATGCATCTGTTCTCTTTTCACTGATAGATAGAAAGATAAAAGCTAACAGTTTTAGCCATAGCAAATGGCAGACTGGTTTCTAATAAGTGTTTTTCCAGAAAGGAGAGGTTGTTGAAAATAATTGTAACAGCACAGTTCCATCTAGCCTTAAAAGCTGAACAGCAAATAGTGCAAAACTGATACACACAATGTTTAAAATAGTTTATGTGTTTAAAAAATCCACCTTTTTTTTTGTTTGTTCCAGACAGGAAATTTTGCTAAAAGCTAGAAAACAAAAGAAGGGGAAAGAGAAAATACGAAGTGCATAAATAAAACTCTGAAAAAAAAGGGGAATAAAAGGAAAACAAAACCAGTTTTGATCAGAAAAAGTGAAAAGACGGTACTCATTCTTCACCAAAAGTTTCATAAATCTTTTTTTCAATCAATTGATATCAGAATGACTATTGAAATCAAGATTCCAAGCTGTTACTTGTTAAGATTGTTCTCGTTATGGAGAAGATGGGAACATCAAAAAAAAGATAAAAATATCACAGTAAATTATGAAGCAAATTTTAAAGGTGAATAAAATCTGCCCAGGGCAGTTACAGAACTATTATGACTGTCCTTTCTTGGGTATCATCACCTCAGAAATAATGCCTTCCACAGAAGACAGTACACATTATTAAAGATTAAAGCTGGCTTTTACCATCTATTAAAAAATACTGGTTCTTGTCAGATAGGCCATTCTTCAGGTATATCACTCATAGCAAGAATAAAACACATGCATAGACACTGTACCTCTTTTCTGCCTTGGGGTGATGCCTCTGGGACTGAGAGTGCCGGCTGCCTCTGGGAGCTCCTCGGCTCATGTGGCTGTTGTTATGGCCTTCAGAAGCAGCAGAAGCCCGCAGGCCGGCCCGGAGCTGCTCTTCATTCCTGTGAAGCGGCACAGATGTACGGATGGCAGAAATGACGTGGCCTGGGTAAGCAGTCAGTGAGTCCTGATGGCGGGAGCTCTGGTGAGCAAGAGTTCTCTCCGAGGCCGCATATGGCCGCCCCGGCCTCTGGTAGCCCCTTTCACGGTAGTACGCCGGGAGGCACGGCCTCGTTTGCTCCATCACACCGCCACTGCAGCTCCTGGAACAGGCAGACCAGGGGCCCCAGCTGCCCCACATGCCTGGGATTCCCGCACCGCTATCTTCAGATGCATCTCTTTGCTCTTCTATCCTCTGGGGAACCTGTAGATACAACAGATTGACAAGAGCTCACACTACAATACAAAGGTGATGAAGGTGATGCTAAAGTCCTTTTTTAAGCCATTCACTCCAAAGTCACACAGTGGAACTGAACTACTGTGTGACTTGAGCTATGCATCAGCTACCTATTCTTCTAGCTCTGGTCTACAGCTATCACCCACTTGGATGAAAAGTTGTTTGGTTTTGGACTAGCTGGATTGGAACAGATTCTTTTTAGTCCTCAGCATTGGAAAACACTGCATGAAGCTTGGAAACTGAAAACCATTACACTATTAACTTCTGGTGACAACTCAGGTAACAAATACTGACTGCTCTCTCCCATTCTGACATCTGAACAATGGAAATTGCTGCTGGAAATCTCAAACTGCAATAATATTTCAGGAAGTGCCACCTCATGAAACTTTTTAGGAAAACTAAAACGTAAGAGAATAAACCGATTGCCAATCAGCCAAAAATGCTGCAATAGTTAACTCTTAAACCACTCCCATTCCACCTCTGATATTAATGCTCTTTCAAGAATACTTCAAGGAAAATATTTATTTAGCAAGGTAAGTACACCCCTACATTCACAGAAATTCCTATCAAATTCAATACAAAGACAGACAAGACAAATTGCTCGTCTCAAGTGTTCTACTTAGCCATGCTCACCATGCAGCAGCATAGGGAAACAAAGAAAAGCCCCGAAAAGAAGAGCTTTTTGTTCTGGATACAGCAATGAACTATTAGGAATAAGAATAGAGCCAGGCTCTTTCCAGTGGTGCCCAGAGCCAGGGCAAGGGGCAATGGGATCAAAGTGGAACACAGGAGGTTCCGTCTGCACACCAGAAAGCATTTCTGTGCTGCGCGGGTGACAGAGCAGGGCACAGGTTGCCCAGATGCTGTGCTGAGATCTCCAAAAGCTTCCTGGGCACAGGCCTGGGCACCCTGCTCTAGGTGGCCCTGCTGGGGCAGGAGTGGGACCAGATGCACCAATAAGTCCTGACAGCCTCAGTCATTTTGCATTAAATGCACAGTTCTGTTGTTTCCCTTCTCCAGCTGGTTGAATCACAAATATTGAAAGCAGGCTTCAAAAGTGTGATTCTCAAGATTACTAAAGTGTAGAGCATTCCCTTAAATGAGCATCCTTTGGTAGTTTACTTATATTCCAAATCTTTGTGCCAAAAAGCACACATACCCATCATTTCAATTATCAGACAAAAAGAAGCACTAACCACAGCTAACTATACAGCCCTACTCAAGTGTCTAACTGTCTCAAAATAACCTCTGGAAAATCAACCATTTCTCTCTGTATGTCACTTCTCCCTGCATTGAAGAACGACCTCCTAAATATATAACTTCCATTAATAATTTTGGCTCAAACACTGCTGCACAGTACTGGATTAACATCTACATACTTGGCCTGCAGGCACAGATAACACGTGCAGGCTCTACCTGAAGTGCCAGCCTGCACAAACTACTGATAAGCAAGCTATAAACATGGCAGGCTTGGGTGGAATGTGGTTTGCTGAATGCTCCATTATCATAAGCAAAGCCAAGGCAGTGAGGGTTTGTGGTGCTGCTGTGTAGGAGTCAGTTGCGGTCTACATAATCTGAAACATTTCCCCACTCTGAGGTTGCTCTCACTCTTTCATCACCAACCACAGAAAAAACTGCATTTAATTATAACTTGTGAATAATATAAAGCATCTGCATTAGTGTGATATGTTCTCTATTTCACCAATATTATATGAAAACAGAAGCAGATGTCTCTGTATTTAATTTATGTTTTTCCGTGGGTACCCCATTTGGCACGAGTCTTTTAAATCCAATAGCCTGTACAACCTAATAACCACATAATGTCAAGATTATGAATAACATGCAACAAGGGCCTGGTTTCTGGCTGTTATATTTGCATTTATATCCAATAGCAGAACATCGTTGGCTCACAATATAACCAACTAGAAAAGCTTAGTTTCTTCCGTTTATGATTTTGTCACTGAATATTCACAGTTTATATGTACATTACATATTAATAAAGCTGTAATACAAATACAGCATAAAACCAATAGCCTGGTGCTTCCAGACAAGTCACATTTCTCTTCTCACAATAAGTCTTCCAAACAGTTTAAATCAGACAAACAAAAAAACAAAAACAAAAACAAAAACAAAACCTGTTTATTTTCTCTTAGCAGCAAATTGTTCTGTAACATTTATGACAAGGAACAGTGGGTTTAAATTTCAGCAGTGGTGCTCCAAATTGGATAGCAGGAAGAACTTCTTAGCAGAAAGGCAAATGAAGCATAGAACCTGAGCAGACCCTGGTACCCTGCATTGGAGGCCAGCCCAAACCTCCAGCAGGAACAACCAAGCCACAGCCGCTCCAGCCCGGCCTCACAGGTCACTTCCTGTGCTTTGGTCCTCTGATTAGCAGGTTACATTGCAGCCGGTAATGAATTCTCACACTGCCCTAGGGTATAGCCAAGAAATTACAGGTAGCTAAGGGAGACAGCTAAAGTATTCCAGAATACTTCAGAAGTACCACAGCCTGAGATTGCTGACTCTTAAGTCCACTCTCCCTTTAAAAACAACCCACTGAACAGCACAGCTTCTGAAGAGTTTAAGCCCTTGCTGTGACAAGTGAGGGTAAAAGTGAAATTTCTTTGCAGAGTTAAATCACAAAAGCAAATTCTTTAAAAGAAACACAAACTGCAATAGGGAGAGAAAAATTACGTTGTCTCATTGACTTTCCTGTAGCTCCTGTGGTTCCTTCTTCAGGTGACCTAATAGTCATTCCAACTGCAAGCGCCATCAGAAAGATGTCTGTCGACTACAAGTTAATCAGCCACCAGGGATTTCGCTCTATTAATTCAATGTATTTTTCCCCTTATTTTCATGCCATTATTACAGTCCTTTCTTTCCTGTACATTCTTCAATCATTTGGTAGGACAATGTTTCTAAGTAGAAGTAGTAATTATCACTGGGTACAGCAGTGAAGAACTTAAACAACCTTTAAGGTATGCATACGCTTGCAATTTCTACGTTTGCACTAACTCCTATCAATTAAATCTCTTTAATTTAGAAATTATCACCATAAAGATCATTGCACAATGAAAACCCAAACTTTACAAACATACACATGCTTGCAGCAGTGCGATATGATGAAGAGCCCTGGCACAGGGTGTCAGTCCTGCTTCTGTATTTCTAGGAACTGCCTTGGTCATTAACCTGCATGACAGGAAATCAGAATTCTAACATAAAGAAGTGGCATTACACGTGCAGTAGTCACACTGAACATCAATGCCTCATCCAGCAAACCAGCACATTGTTTAGTTTCAGATTAGGTGATCCCCAACATCCCTATGTTTTTCCCCTAACATCCACTAATTTGAAAAATTTGGAGCTCATTTCATACAGCAGGATTGCTACTGATGCAGTCACTGATGCCCCATTCCAGCACACCACTAAAACATGTGTCTGATCTGAATGTGAATAAGCCCACTGGAGGAAAAAAGAAGTTAGGTATATACCTACACACACCACTAGATACAATCAGATGGGCTGATCCTGTTCTACTGTTTAACATCCCAACGCTTAGAACATGGAGACTGAAAATTCCGATGATTGCTCTTTCTTTCTAAAAGCTTTTCAAGTAAAGGTTTTATTATGTTATCTATAGAACAGTGAGGATCGCACATCCGTGACAGTCATGGAAAAGAAAGGTAAGCCACATGACTGCAGACACTGAGGCTTTGTAAAACTTGATAGGCAATACAAACCTCGTGGCCAAAAAGAGATCTTAGATTTTATATTAAGCTATCCTTTGCCACTCAATATTCTCTAGAGCAGCCACCACCATTATCTTCCTTGACTTTCTCCATCTCCATCCAGAAAGGGTCCAGCTCTTCTCTAGTTTTAGTCAGCTTTGCCCTCCTTGCTTTTAAGCCTCATTTTCTGCATAACCCATAAAACCCCTCCTTTACTTGGGCTGTTCAGGCCCCTATTCTATTCTCATTCAAATTGCCTTTAAAGATCTATTTAGCCCTTTTGCTGTGTTTCCAACACAGAACCTCTAATGATTAAAGAAAAGTAGGAATTGTCAATTGTTGCCTTTCTCCTAATGGTCAGTCTCTTAAGCTGCAAATCCAGAGGACCAGAATTCACCTTTTGCTTTCCTCTGCGAGGAACATGAACTGTAATAGTGACAAATACATCATTTGAATAATACAATCTCAGCTTTGATAACATTCCTCTTTATGAAAACGATAATCCTGCACTGCTGCACTGTCCTTCAAGACTACAGAATCTTTACAGAAAAAAATGTATCTCCTCCAATATGAATCAGTATCAGAGTAAAATTTGATCCTGTGCATTCTTCTGAGTTGATTTTAATTCATCATCTTACAGTGATGTCACAACCATAGAAGGAAGGGATAATCTGAACTCAGTCTGAAGTTTATTACCCAATAAGTCAAGTAATATACCCCAAGTCAAAGTAATTGTATCCAGAGGGACATTTTGTCAGCTGTCAGAACACCAATGGTACTCACTCAGTAAACTCATGCCCATGTGCTGGATGCAAGGCAGAATTAATAGAAGCCAGTATGCCTTTTTTAAAAATACATGCAAATTATCTATCTTACTTGCCTTGACCTTTGCTTCTCAGAGCAAAGAGCCCTAATTCTGCAAATATTCCTCTGAGTTGAAGCATTTTGGAGTTGTCCCTTCCGGAGACCCTCTTCATATACCTGTTAACTCATGCTGTGACACCAAACCATTGCCATCATTATTATATGCTGGTATAACAGTACGTTATTTTTCAATATTTGTTACTAAAAAATCTGCATGTCATATTCAGGATGAGATGAATACACTACTCTTCACAAATATTTACAGCTCATTCTACCACTGATGGTCTTTCACAAAAGAAAATAAAGTCTCTGTCCTTTTAAAAATCTCAGGAGTGTAAAAACAAAAGCAGGCTGACTTATAGAAACTAGAACTGA